GTCTATACCAATGATACTTCTCAAAACACTTGTGCTCTCTAAAACAGAATGCTGCTGCACAGTGACATCTCCTTTCAAAGATGGAGAAATTGCTGACCTGGAGAGCGTGCAGAGATCCTTTACTGCTAGAATCCACTAAGTAAAAACACCTAAACTACTGGAACTGACTAAAGTGTCTAAATCTAGATTTTCTTGAGCGCAGGCGGGAGAGATACATAATAATTTACACGTGGAAAATATTAAGAAGGGCTGGTCCCAAACCTGCACACAGAAATAACATCACATGAGACCAGAAGGCATGGCAGGATGTGCAGAATACCGCCGTTGAAAAGCAGAGGTGCAACAGGTACTCTGAGAGAGAACTATCAACATCAGAGGCCCGAGACTGTTCAACACGCTTCCACTACACATAAGGGACATAACTGGCAGACCCCTCACAGTGTTCAAGAGAGAACTTGACAAATACCTCCAAAGGATACCTGATCAACCAGGCTGTGACTCATGCATCAGGCTGCGAGCAGCCGCGTCCAACAGCCTGGTTGACCTCCAGCAACCAGGAGGCCTGGTCAGGGACCGGGCTGCGGGGACGTTGAGCCACGAAATCAGTGCAAGGTAACGGTAAACAGAAGTTGAAAATTGACCTATAATAGTAATTATTGAGTCGAGAAATGATATCGACTTGAGAATGGTCCAGGACGGACTGAAACCTCGTCGTCTCTTCACTTTCTAGTGTGTGGTCTGGTCAACGTTTTTCACCCACGTTTTTGTGCAACCCGTTCTCGCACTTGCTTATAGTCAATATTGGCTTATTTAATAAGTGCATATGTGACATACTAATTGATTGTGAATATTTTAGTTTACCTTGAAAAACTTCATAGAAAACACTGACCTCACCTAACCTTCTTAGTATGTTAAGATAAGCATCTTATTGCTTCTTAATTACAATTATTACTTAACCTATACCGTTGATAGGTTAAGTAATAATTGTAAATACGAAGCAATAAGATGCTTATCTTAACATACTTAGAAGGTTAGGTGAGGTCAGTGTTTTCTATGAAGTTTTTCAAGGTAAACTAAAGTATTCACAATCAATTAGTATGTCACATATGCACTTATTAAATAAGCCAATATTGACTATAAGCAAGTGCGAGAACGGGTTGTTTTGTGACTTCGTCTGCACAAGAAATGATACTTCAGAATTTTTTTTTCAATTTCATAAATAAAAGTCAAATTAGGTTTTTGGAATTCAAATTCACAACAAACATATTCACATGCGAGCGATCATTAAAGATAACAGCGATAAAAGGAAAATAGGCTTAAACTCTGCAGTAGAAGAGTCTAGCCACAAGTTTTCAAACCTTCGTGAGAAAATATTAGCGTAAAATGGGCCTAACATTGGAGTCTGTTTTTTTCTTTCGATAGTAAACTTTTTACACAAATAGACAAGATAGCAAAAATTTTACATCCATTTTATGTTTTTTGTGATTTTTTAAGTAATTTTTCCTATTTTTCCCTATTTTTAATGATCCACATTTCATAGTAATGTAGATGTTTTTGTTTCGTTTTGAATTCCAACTTAAATTTCACGTTTACTTACGAAATGGAAGAAAATGTAACATTATGGTCAGCTGAAAAACTTAAAATCTCTACAGAAAACAAATCCAAAATTTCAGTTTAGGTGAAAATTGCATGGGGGTCCTTACACTGCCAATATCTCCTAAAAGGCGGCACTGGGGGTTGACCCTGACTGACCTATGACAATCCCATACCCCCCCCCCCCCCATTCTATCCTCAAACCTGGAATAGACAAAAAAAACAGCCATTCTATTTTATAGCTACTGATAAAGAATGGTCACTTTACCAAATGTCACCGTGGTAATTAGTTCAGTACAAATTGATGAAGAAATTGTACAAATTTCAACTGTACAAATTGATATTTGTACCGGTGAGTGAACCAAGATAACCATTACCTCGAAATCATCAACGGGTATATTACTTATAAATATATTTTTCTTAATGGAGATGTTTTCCTTTAGCTTTAAGAAATAATAATACAAAATGAAATGGTTAGGCTATATTTAATGGAGATATTATTTCTTAAAACTAAAGGAAAACAATACAAAATGAAATGGTTAGGCTATATTTAATGGAGATATTATTTCTTAAAACTAAAGGAAAACAATACAAAATGAAATGGTTAGGCTATATTTAATGGAGATATTATTTCTTAAAACTAAAGGAAAACAATACAAAATGAAATGGTTAGGCTATATTTAATGGGAATGTTTTCCTTTATTTTTTAGAAATAATAATAAAAAATGTACCATATTTTGGCTATATTGGTTAACCTATACTTATTGGACAGAAAATACTCACCTCCAAAAAAAATTTCTCATGTCACTGTCCTGTTTGTTACAAGGGGAGAGTGGAGTAGTGGTCACTATATGCGACGATCACTGTAATGATGCATGCAGAGAATAACTTTTGATGATTACAATATATTATAATTGTTATATATGGTGTTATATAATGATGTGTGACCTTCGGGTGTTACACGGCTCTTAACAGTTGGGTGAATGATCGGATTTGGTGATGGTGGTGACTGTACATGGTGGTGGTGACTGTACACGGTGATGGTGGTGGCTGTACACGGTGATGGTGGTGACTGTACACGGTGATTGTGGTGACTGTACACGGTGATGGTGGTGACTGTACATGATTGTGGTGACTGTCCACGGTGATTGTGGTGACTGTACATGATGGTGGTGACTGTCCACGGTGATGGTGGTGACTGTACACGATGGTGGTGACTGTCCACGGTGATTGTGGTGACTGTACACGATGGTGGTGACTGTACATGATGGTGGTGACTGTACACGATGGTGGTGACTGTCCACGATGGTGGTGACTGTACACGGTGGTGGTGACTGTACATGGTGGTGGTGACTGTACATGATGGTGGTGACTGTACATGATGGTGGTGACTGTACATGGTGGTGGTGACTGTACATGGTGGTGGTGACTGTACATGGTGGTGGTGACTGTACATGATGGTGGTGACTGTACATGGTGGTGGTGACTGTACATGGTGGTGGTGACTGTACATGGTAGTGGTGACTGTACATGATGGTGGTGACTGTACATGATGGTGGTGACTGTACATGATGGTGGTGACTGTACATGATGGTGGTGACTGTACATGATGGTGGTGACTGTACACGATGGTGGTGACTGTACATGGTGGTGGTGACTGTACATGATGGTGGTGACTGTACATGATGGTGGTGACTGTACATGATGGTGGTGACTGTACATGATGGTGGTGACTGTACATGATGGTGGTGACTGTACACGGTGATGGTGGTGACTGTACATGGTAGTGGTGACTGTACATGGTGGTGGTGACTGTACATGGTAGTGGTGACTGTACATGGTGGTGGTGACTGTACATGGTGGTGGTGACTGTACATGGTAGTGGTGACTGTACATGGTGGTGGTGACTGTACATGTTGGTGGTGACTGTACATGGTAGTGGTGACTGTACATGGTGGTGGTGACTGTACATGGTAGTGGTGACTGTACATGGTGGTGGTGACTGTACATGGTGGTGGTGACTGTACATGGCAGTGGTGACTGTACATGGTGGTGGTGACTGTACATGATGGTGGTGACTGTACACGGTGGTGGTGACTGTACATGATGGTGGTGACTGTACATGATGGTGGTGACTGTACATGATGGTGGTGACTGTACATGGTGGTGGTGACTGTACACGATGGTGGTGACTGTACATGGTAGTGGTGACTGTACATGGTGGTGGTGACTGTACATGATGGTGGTGACTGTACATGGTGGTGGTGACTGTACATGATGGTGGTGACTGTACATGATGGTGGTGACTGTACATGATGGTGGTGACTGTACACGGTGGTGGTGACTGTACATGATGGTGGTGACTGTACATGGTGGTGGTGACTGTACATGGTGGTGGTGACTGTACATGGTGGTGGTGACTGTACATGGTGGTGGTGACTGTATATGGTGGTGGTGACTGTACATGGTGGTGGTGACTGTACACGGTGGTGGTGACTGTACATGATGGTGGTGACTGTACATGGTGGTGGTGACTGTACATGGTGGAGGTGACTGTACATGATGGTGGTGACTGTACATGATGGTGGTGACTGTACATGGTGGTGGTGACTGTACATGGTGGTGGTGACTGAACATGATGGTGGTGACTGTACATGATGGTGGTGACTGTACATGGTGGTGGTGACTGTACATGGTGGTGGTGACTGTACATGATGGTGGTGACTGTACATGATGGTGGTGACTGTACATGGTAGTGGTGACTGTACATGGTGGTGGTGACTGTACATGGTGGTGGTGACTGTACATGGTAGTGGTGACTGTACATGGTGGTGGTGACTGTACGTGGTGGTGGTGACTGTACATGGTAGTGGTGACTGTACATGGTAGTGGTGACTGTACATGGTAGTGGTGACTGTACATGGTGGTGGTGACTGTACATGGTGGTGGTGACTGTACACGATGGTGGTGACTGTACACGATGGTGGTGACTGTACACGATGGTGGTGACTGTACATGGTGGTGGTGACTGTACATGGTGGTGGTGACTGTACATGATGGTGGTGACTGTACATGATGGTGGTGACTGTACACGATGGTGGTGACTGTACATGGTGGTGGTGACTGTAAATGGTGGTGGTGACTGTACATGGTGGTGGTGACTGTACATGGTGGTGGTGACTGTACACGATGGTGGTGACTGTACATGGTGGTGGTGACTGTACATGGTGGTGGTGACTGTACATGGTGGTGGTGACTGTACATGGTGGTGGTGACTGTACATGATGGTGGTGACTGTACATGGTGGTGGTGACTGTCCACGATGGTGGTGACTGTACACGGTGATGGTGAGGAGTGTGCAAGATAGTGAGGAGTGTGCAAGATAGTGACGTGTTGCTGTGTTGCAGGGAACGTGCTGGTGGTGAACGTGATGCTGGCGGGACTGGTGGTGAGCGTGGGCGTGCTGCCGTCATGGGTGGTGTCGCTGCTGGCCGGCTGGGCCCACCCCACACCCGTCTGCTGCGCCTCGTGGCTCCTCACCACCCTGGCCGCCCACGCCGCCCTCCTCACCCTCCCGTCCCTCGCCTGGGAGAACTCCGCCCGGGTGGCCGGCCGCAGCGTGGGCATCGCCGCCCTCGCCGTCATGGTGGGCGTGTCGTGGGTGGCCGCGGGGATCATCACCTTCACGCAGTGGGTGACGGGTCTGGCGCCCGTACACTGCACCCACCTGCCCTTCCCGCGCCCCACCGCCCACACGGCCTTCACCTCGGGCGTGGGCGTGGCCCTGGTGGTGGTGCCCCTGGTGATCGCCCTCAGCATACACCTGCACACGCTGCTGGCGGGGCGGGGTGGCAACCGCCGCCCAGTGCCGCCCACCATGAAGCCGCCCCAGGCCCTGACGCGGGACCTGGCGCTCACCGGCACCAACCTGGTGGTGACGGCGGCCGCGGGCGGGTGCTGGGTGGCCGGCCTGGCCGGGGACTGGTGGGCCGACGACCCCCTCAGGACGGGCGTGGCATGGCTGCCAATAGTGGCCGCCACGGCCTCCAGCTTCATCTACGCCGCCCACAAGCCCTTCCGCGAGGCCTACGTCCAGCTGTTCCACTACTGCTGCTGCAAGACCTCCGTCTCGCTCTCCCGCCGCGGGCGCAGCGGTGACGCAGCTGCGGCAGCGGCGGCGGCGGCTGCGGCAGCTGCGCGGCCGGCTAGCGACGTGCGGGTGCACATCATCCCGGGCTATAACATGTACACCACCGCGGCCGCCCGCGACCACCGGCCCCCCGCACATGCGCACGTGAAGGCGCCGCGCAGTAAGGAGTCCAGACGCCCCAAGCACCACCACAAGAAGGATGTGTACGAACTGTAGCTCCCGTGACTGTCTCCTCCGCCTCCTACCTCACTCTCCTACCTCCTGCTGCCTCCTGCGCCTCCCTCATGCTGCCTCCGCCCACTCCCTCCCCACTAACCTGGCCTCACCCACGCTTGCTTGGCCCTGCTTCTGTACTACATGCAGTTATCCCATGTCTCTCCTACCCCCGACATCCACCGCCTATCCTTCCCCCAACCTCTTCTGCCTATCCCTTCCCCGACCTCCAGCACCTCTTCCTTCCCGACCTCCACCAACCCGTCTATCCTCTATCTCTGTCATCCCTTCTTGCACCCGATCCCAAAGGCTGTAGTCTGTTCTGTCGCCTCGAAGCCTATCTATACAATGATTATCCAACTTGACATTTCAACCATTCATGGTGTAACTATGTAAGCCGCAAAGTATTGAGTGTCATTATCAACTCAAAGTGATCAAGAATAATTTGGAGGGAAAAATTCCAAAATATTTATTATTGACCAAACGAAGAAGAACGAGCGCATGCGCACATTAGAAAACAATGGCTTTTGTCGACCGAGTTTATCAAAGAAAGTGCGTAAGTGGTGAAACTACAGCATACTAGGCTCTGAAACCAGTTTTGATCACAGAGCTCCACCATGCAGGCTATACTGTGCGCTCAACGGCTTTGCAACTGCAAATAGTTATTGGTGACGATACTTATTGGTATCGTCACACGAAGCCATTTGCAAGCTTAAGCGTCAAGTTCAGACTACAGCTGTTTCAGCAGCAGCAGCATCAAGTTCCACTTTCGGGATCACCGCTACTACACAACTTATCTGTTCCAGACACGACAAGGAGGGGGGCTGAGGGACTTAATAACATGCATCTCTGTTACACATGCAACCATGACATGTCCAACTTCACCCCACAGTCAACCTTCACCTCACAGACAACCATAAGCCATCCACTTTCATGCAACCTATCACATTCATTCAATAAGCCGCCACACAGCTTCTTGCAATGATTCATCTCTACTCCGAAACTAAGCATTCATGATTCATCCACGATTAGAGCACAACCTCCACAAAAAAATCCTCCCCAATCCACCACCATTCAGCTTAGCACGAATTATCCAAGACCTGCACATCATCATACCGTGAATTATCCGTGATATCCTGCACAAACTCAGCAGATGACTTACCAATATTTACCAACACTAAACATCGTCGTTAATATCCCACGGTCAAGACAAGTCAGAAATTGAACCCCAATCCACAAGGAGATTTCTAACATCTAGAAAAAAATTGAATGGCAATTTCATTGCCTGTGTTACCCGTCAATCCAGCATGTAAAAGTATAGAAAATAAAACATATCCAAGCCTAAAATAATATGATAATGGATTGAGGGTTAACTAAAGAAAATCATGGGCCTCGTTAATAACTCAATATTCTGGTATTAACGATGTGGACGATATCGCCACAGGTGGGTAACTTATCACTGATGATCAAGTGATGGGTTAAGTAGTTGTCTCCTATCTCTTAGGAGCTGTCAACAGATCAAGTGAGATGACTTATGAGGAGATGATTATACGCGCAGAGTAAGAAGAGGCTATCAGAATAGCCTCTCAACTGAAGCACTCTTGAATAGCCTCTCAACCGAGGCACTCAGACTAGCCTCTCAACTGAAACAAACAGAATAGCTTCTCAACTGAGGCACTCAGAATACTAAATCTTAACTAGAGGACATTTCTTCGTCAGCACTGTGTGTAAAGTTTTATATATGGAACGTGGAATATACATATATATATATCTATCCATATTTTGATGTAAACTCTGTATTTCAGTAATTCCTTCTTACAGATGACACTAGCTTTGAAATATCCAGTTATGTTATGTCATTATAGATGTATATGATATCAGAATATGAGATCATGTGGTGTGTTGTATACAACAGATAATAATCCAACACTTGCGTGTGTTTTATATAAGTGTATGAACTTTTAATGAACATGTGAGTAATATATTCAGATAATATAGCTTGGTAATGCAGGGAGGTAATTTTGCGATATAATAATATAGTTTGGTAATTTAGCCAGATAATGTAGCCAGATAACAGACATAGCCTAATACTATAGTTATAGACAGATAATCTGGGCATAAGCAAAATGTTTTACATATTCCATTAGGGTATTTAATACATGGACATTGCAATGGCTATTTTAGTGAAGTGTGATTCAATTTACAACCAGAAAATACTGAGGTAATATTAAGTACAAAATTATCATTTTCATTCTTAGTGAATATAGGAGAGTAGCCAGGTGTTGATGACCCCCTCACAGGGCAGGTGAAGGATGACTCTTGACTGGTCTGTCCGGCAGTCAAATCATATGTAAAGCTTTCATTGGTTAATGTCCGGAATTGCTCTTATTTCAGTGTAACGTGATATTAAGAGGTCAGAATCTGTAAAAAGTCCACTACGGGCTCACCATAGCCCGTGCTACTTGGAACTTTTTTGTTCCAGGTAGCGAATTTTAAAAACAACAACAACAACTGAAGTCAGTCAGCTCAAAAATAATAAAAGTTTGTTGCAACTGTCATATTCACCGAGTGGTATCACGGCAACCCATCCTCGATTCAAGTTCATTCCATCCAGCGGTCGACCCCACAAACGCATTCATACACTTTTAAATGTTGTTCATTCAAAACGGGAATTTTCTCAAATATAAATTAATATAATAATATATTAGCATTTTGTGCATATATAGGCATAGGTTAGGTTAGGTGTTTAGGTTCTGTTGGCGATTATTTGTATTTATAGTACGTGTAGTGAAGCATTTACAGCGTTGTGGTTCGAACAAAATTCGTCAGTGAAGCACTTGTTCCGGAAGTGTTCGGGAGTGTCATCAGTTATGAGTCGTGTGTCAGCCCATCCTCATAAATAAAGGTCAAAGTCCATTCCCATGCATCTGCCAAACCCCCTTTTATTAAATAAAAAATTGTTTACACACTATTCACAACTGATGACGTTCGAACACTTCCGAAACAAACGCTTCACTGACGAATTTTGTTCGAACTAAATGAAGAGAAACGATAGTGAACCTAAACACCTAACCTAACCAATGCCTAAATATGCTAATATATAGCAATATTAATCTATATTTAAGAAAATTCCTAATTTGAATATCATTTTATAATTGATGAATGCGTCTTTGGGGTCGACCGCTGGATGGAATGGCCTTGGACTGAGGCCGGGTTGTATGTGTAAACAGTTTTACATTCATAAACAGGGGTTTGGCGGGTGCTTGGAATGGACTTTGACCTTTGTTTACGAGGACGGGCTGGACACCTTGACCAGCTGCAGGTTCTTGAGCAGCTGAAGGTTCTGGAACAGCTGCAGGTTCTTGAGCAGCTGCAGGTTCTTGAGCAGCTGCAGGTTCTTGAACAGCTGCAGGTTCTTGAACAGCTGCAGGTTCTTGAGCAGCTGCAGGTTCTTGAACAGCTGCAGGCTCTTGAGCAGCTGCAGGTTCTTGAACAGCTGCAGGTTCTTGAACAGCTGCAGGTTCTTGAGCAGCTGCAGGTTCTTGAGCAGCTGCAGGTTCTTGAACAGCTGCAGGTTCTTGAACAGCTGCAGGTTCTTGAGCAGCTGCAGGTTCTTGAACAGCTGCAGGCTCTTGAGCAGCTGCAGGTTCTTGAACAGCTGCAGGTTCTTGAACAGCTGCAGGTTCTTGAGCAGCTGCAGGTTCTGGAACATCTGCAGGTTCTTGAACAGCTGCAGGCTCTTGAGCAGCTGAAGGTTCTTGAGCAGCTGCAGGTTCTTGAGCAGCTGCAGGTTCTTGAGCAGCTGCAGGGTCTTGAGCAGCTGCAGGTTCTTGGGCAGCTGCAGGTTCTTGAGCAGCTGAAGGTTTTTGAGGAGCTGCAGGCTCTTGAGCAGCTGCAGGTTCTTGAACAGCTGCAGGTTCTTGAGCAGCTGCAGGTTCTTGAGCAGCTGCAGGTTCTTGAGCAGCTGCAGGTTCTTGAGCAGCTGCAGGGTCTTGAGCAGCAGCAGGTTCTTGAGCAGCTGAAGGTTCTTGAGCAGCTGAAGGTTCTTGAGCAGCTGCAGGGTCTTGAGCAGCTGCAGGTTCTTGAGCAGCTGCAGGTTCTTGAGCAGCTGAAGGTTCTTGAGCAGCTGCAGGTTCTTGAGCAGCTGAAGGTTCTTGAACAGCTGAAGGTTCTTGAGCAGCTGCAGGGTCTTGAGCAGCTGCAGGTTCTTGAGCAGCAGCAGGTTCTTGAGCAGCTGAAGGTTCTTGAGCAGCTGCAGGCTCTTGAGCAGCTGCAGGCTCTTGAGCAGCTGCAGGTTCTTGAGCAGCTGAAGGTTCTTGAGCAGCTGAAGGTTCTTGAGCAGCTGCAGGTTCTTGAGCAGCTGCAGGCTCTTGAGCAGCTGCAGGCTCTTGAGCAGCTGCAGGCTCTTGAGCAGCTGCAGGTTCTGGAACAGCTGCAGGTTCTGGAACAGCTGCAGGTTCTTGAGCAGCTGCAGGTTCTGGAACAGCTGCAGGTTCTTGAGCAGCTGCAGGTTCTTGAACAGCTGCAGGTTCTTGAACAGCTGCAGGTTCTTGAGCAGCTGCAGGCTCTTGAGCAGCTGCAGGTTCTTGAGCAGCTGCAGGTTCTTGAGCAGCTGCAGGCTCTTGAGCAGATGCAGGTTCTTGAACAGCTGCAGGTTCTTGAACAGCTGCAGGTTCTGGAACAGCTGCAGGTTCTTGAGCAGCTGCAGGCTCTTGAGCAGCTGCAGGTTCTTGAGCAGCTGCAGGTTCTTGAGCAGCTGCAGGTTCTTGAACAGCTGCAGGTTCTTGAGCAGCTGCAGGTTCTGGAACAGCTGCAGGTTCTTGAGCAGCTGCAGGTTCTTGAACAGCTGCAGGTTCTGGAACAGCTGCAGGTTCTTGAGCAGCTGCAGGTTCTTGAACAGCTGCAGGTTCTGGAACAGCTGCAGGTTCTTGAGCAGCTGCAGGTTCTTGAACAGCTGCAGGTTCTGGAACAGCTGCAGGTTCTTGAGCAGCTGCAGGTTCTGGAACAGCTGCAGGTTCTTGAGCAGCTGCAGGTTCTTGAACAGCTGCAGGTTCTTGAACAGCTGCAGGTTCTTGAGCAGCTGCAGGCTCTTGAGCAGCTGCAGGTTCTTGAGCAGCTGCAGGCTCTTGAGCAGCTGCAGGTTCTTGAGCAGAACCTCTTGTTCTTCAAACAAAAAGTAAAGCACAAAATTTGAAAAAGTAGCAAATCTCTTTATTTGACGAAGGAAAGATTTGTTGCACAGTGAAAAGTTGGTTTTGCAGTAAAGAGTTTTGTGGAAGTTTGATTTCTTTAGTGGACGAAATATTAGAGACCTGGGCAAGGATTCACGAAGCAGTTACGCAAGTACTTACAAACGTGTACATCTTTTCTCAATCTTTAGCGGCTTTGTTTACAATTATTAAACAAGTACTGACCTCCGAAGCACCAGGAGGCTGTTTATAACAATAACAACAGTTGATTGGCAAGTTTTCATGTTTGTAAACTGTTTAATAAATGTAACCAAAGCCGTCAAAGATTGAGGAAAGATGTACACGTTCGTAAGTACTTGCGTAACTGCTTTGTGAATCAGGGCCCTGGGCTGGGATTCACGAAGCACTTGCGTGTTCACTTACGAGATTTCCACCTCTCCGATTATGGGTATTTTATCGATATTTACTAAACAGTTTACTAGTATAGAGGAGCCACGAAGTCGCCCTCAATCCAAGGTTGTTATTGTTCTGGGGCCAGATTCACGAAAGCCCTTACGCAAGCACTTATGAACGTGTACATCTTTCCTCACTCTTTGACGGCTTTGGTTACATTTATTAAGCAGGTTTACAAGCATGAAAACTTGCCAATCCACTGCTGTTATTGTTATAAACAGCCTCCTTGTGCTTCGGAGCTCATTAACTGCTTAATAATTGTAAACAAAGCCGCCAAAGATTGAGAAAAGATGGACAGGTTCGTAAGTGCTTGCGTAACTGCTTCGTGAATCTTGCCCCTAGTTAGTAAATGGAGATTGTCACCATGATCGAGTTAATAGGTACAGATCTCGAAAATGAAGACGCTAAGAGCTTCCCGAATCCCGGGTCCTGTGCGAGGAGAAGTACTGGAGAAACGCCTCTGATTCATTCTTCAAAATGTTAAATTTATTTATATACGGCAAAGTAATTTTTCTACTAAATAATTGCACTGATCGTATCTTTAATTAGCAATAGTGCATTAAAAAAAAAGCCTCGAATTACGGCTGGCAGTTTCATAATATGAACATATCAATATAATTCACATACCTTTGTAAATAAGATCTTTTTTCTAAATTGTTTTGCCATCCTCTTGAAGTACAAATTATATCGTGTGTGGCTATCGTGCCATTATGTAGTCCAAAACTGGTAGATTCTAAAATTCAAATGCAAAAGATAACTGTCCATTAAAGCCCAAATAAAACAAAGACTGCGCACCACCATGTCATCAGTGATGGAGTATAGTTATGAAGACATTATAGTAATATAGCGGAAATTATGTTAAATTTTATTGTAGTCAGGGTAACTGAACAGTGTAATATAATAATAATAATAATAATAATAATAATAATAATAATAATAATAATAATAATAATTTTTATTTAGGTGAAGGTACATACATAAAGAGATTTTACAAAGTTTGTTGGCTTTATAGATAGAGCTAGTACATACAATGCCTAAAGCCACTATTACGCAAAGTGTTTCAATGTGTTAATACATATTTAATACTATATAATTTCAACCACTCTTATTTAGTGTGTAAACATTTATTTGTTTGGTGCATAAACGCTGTTTGTTTACTGTATAAACATTTGTTTAGTTTAGAAGAGTTTAAAAGACTGTCATGAGTGAGGCTAGCGCGATTTTCGTTCCAGCTCGCTGAGAATGACGTCACCTTAAGTGACATGATACCATCTCTAAGCACATCTAAGTCCACTACGGGCTCACCATAGCCCGTGCTACTTGGAACTTCTTGTTCCAGGTAGCGAATCTTAAACAACAAGTCTGAGAACATCAATGGTGCATTGTGGGTAAAGTGGTAAATAACAAATGCTATTTAGAATCCGTGTTCTAAATTTAAAAAAAATGGTATTAACATGGTAATTGTTGAATTGGTAAGGGGATAATGCGTTAGGTATTGTTTCTCCTTTTTTTTATCATATTTTGATATATTTGATTACTGATAATTTATGCTTAAAGTAC